CTGGACTCTCTCTACATAATATACTCGATATATATAGCCTGGCAGAATAAATGGCAGCACACTATGATTTGTGCTTGGTAAGAAAACAGCACTTTCTAACGACATATAAACAAGTAGAAGAAAAGTTTCAAAACTGTACTATCTTATGTACTGCTAATCTTTACCATATGGTCTATTATTGTCAGGTGAAAGGTTCAATGTATTTTTAGTTACTAAGCTGGGCTAAGTGCATCCTCCATGTAACCCTAGCTACTTGGGAGATGGAGATAAGGAGGATTGCATTTCAAGGCCTTGCTGAGCAAAAAAGTTCAAAAGCTTCCATCTCAATGAAAGTCTGAGTGTGGTGGCACACATTCTTATACCATATGTTATGTGGAAAGCATAAATGGGAAGATTGCGCTCCAGGCCAGCCTGGGCATAAATGTAAGGCCATATCTCAAAAATAGTCTAAGAAAAAAGAGGTTCAGGACATGGCTGATGTAGCAGAGTGTCCTAAAGTTCTGAGCTGAAATGTCAATACTGCCAAAAATAATAAGCAATCAATATGCTAAATTAGATTACAAAATACTAAATTAATGGTAGTAGGTAAAAATGCAAAGTATTTCTATTTTTGACCAAACTGAACAATTTATGTCGATATCACTGATTTTATGGGTAGTGCTAAAATCATATACCCTCTGTGAGAAAAATAAATTTCCAAATATATTCTTAAGTTATCAGGTGGAAGAGTGATAGTTACCAACCCAACCTACAAAATTCATTGGGTTTTGGCTTCAGAAAGAGTTAAAAGGAAGTATGTGTGATCAGATTAACAGAGGATTCTGTACAGTATCACACTCTGACTACACAGCAAGTGAGGAAAGTATTTGAGGTGGGAGAGGGGATGCAAAGGGCGGAGGCAGCACACTAAGTTACTTTAGTTCAGCACATATACATTGTTGAATAAATACTAGGGCTGTTTCACATTTGTGTATATGCATGTCTCCTAAGAAGTTTGTGTATATGTTTATTACTCATCTCTTTATTATTCTATATCCTGTCCCTCCTTCTAAACAGTTTTAATGGGTTACATTATCCTATTTTCTTATATGCATACAAAGCAATTTGATCATAACTGGCCCCCAACAGCCTTGCCATTTCCCATGAGTTTTCCTGCCACATAGTCCTTAGACTGTTTGGAGGTTTAGTATTAATATCATATTTAATAAATTTATGATGTATTTACCTCATAAATCACATCATATATTACAGCCAAAAAGCCATCCTGGATGCTGCAATACACTAGAAGTTACTCCTGCTATTTAATGCATTTTGAGCACATGATGATTAAAGAAATAAGCCAGACACATAAATAGCATATATTGTCACTCAGCTGTAAAAGTTAAAAACAAACTGATACCAAAGAAGAGGTGATCACTATAGGCAAGGAAAAGGGGAAGGAGAGTAAGGAGAAGGGCAAGGAGTCTGAACTGGAGAGCCTTCATTCTGATGTTCTTACATGTTTTATCTGCTCCTCCAGTCTCTAAGTGCCTCCAGGCTGAAATTTTGCTTTACTCACACTATATTGCCAGTTCTCAGTATTGGGCAACTGAATAAATACCTACTGCCTGAATGCAGGCTATCAGTGCTAAATTTCATACCCATCTCTACCATATCAAATAGCCTTTTATCCCATTTCATAGTGGGGGTTAGAGTTAGATGACTTGCTAAAGATTACAGAAGCAAAAAAAACCAAAAATGTGGAAAGGCTGGAATCTAAGAATTAGCTTCCTTCCAACACATCATGCTAAGTAAGAAAGCAAAACATAGAAATGTGTGGTGTACTAAAACAAATTATTTTCTGCTCTTAAGGCAAGGACAATGATTCACTAACTTATACCAGAAATTAGTAACAGACTTGTAAAGCACTGTTTTGTTTTGCTTTGTTTTGTTTTCCTGTTCTATACATTTTACTTTGGGATGAATATCCCAGAGAAGAAAGATGTCGAAAGAAGTCTAAGTATTAATTGAGATCTTCACAGTTCTTTATTCTATAAGCAAGTAGTAATTATCTTTACATTTCTAATTGCCACCACCTACTTTCAGCAATATAAGGAATTAACAAGGAATGCTCACTCACTCTGCAGCTACGTATTCAATAAAATTATACATGATATCCAGCACTGCTCAAACAGTTATGAGTAAGACAAACCTCTTCACATAGAGATTTTAAGGTCGATTTAGGAAACCTACTCTGTCCCTGCTACATTCTTTGCATATATTTTTCCAATTTCTGCAGAAAGAATCTGATCATTCTTTTTAATATTTCTAGACTTGAAGTGGAAGTTACATAAAGTAACATGAGTCCATTATAACTAAATTAGATTAACCAATTTGGAAGTCTCATAGAGTCTGATACAATTTTACAAGTAAAATATTTTTAATTCCACTCTTATCAGTAGAGGAAATAATAGACTTAGCCCATTCTCACCCCCCCCCCCCCACCCTTTGCTACAAATTACTACCATGCCACATTATACATATTTTGGTAGTGGAGGCCAAAATTAGCATCCACCAAATTAACTATGAGCACAATCTGACAGCAAAAAGTATAGATTCTGAAAGTTGCCCAGACATTCTTAGTATCAAAAAAGCTTTGGACATTAGGTAGCTAACTAAATTTAGAACTTGGACTGCATGAGTATGTTAGATGTTGACTAAAGAATAGTTAGTAGTCACAGTTCAGAATTTGGCAGTTTTCAATACTGAGTCATCCAACAGAATCTTATTGAAAAGTTGAATTCTCCCAAGTTTTGCATGACATTAAGTATTTGTATATAAGATTATAAATGAGACCAAACCTAAAAGAGAAATGAGCATACCAAGAAAATTATATTCCCACTCAAAATTTATGCTTAAGAAATATCACACTATCCTGGTTCTTCATAAGATTATACCAATAACATTACTTATTCAGTGAGAAAAATAATGTTTCTACTTTCTATTAATCTTTCTTTATATCAAGAAGTCAGTCTCAGGAGGGCGCAGTGGCCCATGAGTTACCCTAATTACTCAAGAGGCTGAGATCTGAAGAACATAGTTACAAGCCAGCCCAGCAAAAGAATTTCCTAGACTTCATCACCAAATAGCAAAAAATAGAGCTGGAGATGTGATGCAAGAAGTAAAGCATAAGTCTATCAAGCAAAAGGCCCAGAGCTCAAACCTCAGTATCATCAAAAATAAAGAACATCTCAATTTCGTGACAATTCCCTTTTAATATCTTTGGAACATATTCTAATTTCCTATGAAACAGAAAATGGGCTTGGATTAGCTGGCTTTTACTGATCAACAGTATCAAGCTCAGTAATACTGTTGATATCAGTGACTCTCAAATGCTTTCAGTTCTTTTACATTCTCAAAAATTATCCAGGGATCTCCAAAAAGTTTCATGTATATGAATTATATACATTGATTTAATATAATATTTAATCAATTTATCAACTAAATTTAAGAAATTTCAAGTACTGATTGATTTAAAATAATAACACATTAGTAAGCCTTTATAAAAAATAAGAAAAATGATGAAAACTGGCACTCACTTAGATGTTTTCTAAATCTGCTTAATATTTGGCCTCAAGTAATACATAGAAAACAAAAATGGAAAAAGGCTACATTCAACCTTAATGATGCAAATTTTTTTGTTGTTGTTGGTTGAAGAAAAGGAAGAAAACCCAGCTTGGAAAAAGGAACAATTTTTTTAAATCATCTTTTCAAAAAACAGTCATTCTTTTTTTTTTTTTGCTACTGCACTCAAACTTGAGAAGATATATTTTCCTAGTGTTAGTTGCAATGTAAAAGATGAAATGTCATGGAATGCTTCACACTCTGTATAATTATAAGTCAATGCATTATTTGGAGAAACATGTCTCAGAGAAACCAAATCCTCAAGTTCCCTAGACCATACTCACAAAAAATAATGGTGTACATTGTGCCTTTTAATCAAATTCATACTTTAGCCAGGTGATACTGGTTTCCCATTCAAAAAAAATTTCAAAAGGAAAATTTTGCTTTAAATAATGAAGGAAGGATGGGGAATGTTAAAAGAGGTGCCATTGATCAAGACCCACTGTATTCATAAACTGCTTTCTTGAATGGCAACTCCTTTGAACAACTACTTAAAGATAATTGTAAAAACCTTAAAAAATAATATAATGAAATAAAGTATCTGCTAAGTGTAGAGAAGGCGATTACAGCAAAGTATGTAGTTATGATGAATAAACCAGTACAGTCCTGGAAACCTCCAGGACTTTATGAAGGAGGAAACAGCTAGACATTTTCTGCCCAGCTTTACACTCAGCTGGTTCCTTCTAATGAGGTCTTGGCTCCAGATGTCAACTCCTCAGAGAAGTGGTCCTTAACTAGTTAGGGGCATCCTGATTATTAAGCTACAGGCTAACAACACCAAGAAACACTGATGGCAAGGAAGAAAATTTCTTTTAAATTTTATAAAAATAAAAGATCTACAAAAGGCCCATCTGCATCAGCATTACTGAGCAACAACAACAACAAAAAGTTGACTGCATTCATAAACTGCTTTGCTAAATGGCAACTCCTCTGTACAACTACTTAAAGATAATTTAAAAATAAGAAAAAAATAGGCTGTCCTTAAAGAAACTGTATTCCAAATAGGCAAAAACTTGACAAGTCAGTTGCACACACAAAAAAGAAAAGAAAAGAAAATCATATACCAAAGAGAGGTGTGGCAAGGTAAGTGCTATCAAACTTCAAAGAAATATGAGATTATTTCCAGAATGATGACACTTTAAATGAAAGCAGCAACTTGTTAGTTTAAATTCCCCCCAAGTAACACACACCATTAAGACAGCTACCCTCACCAAGTCCCTTGGGTGAGGGGCCTCTGATGCTGGGGAATGAAGCTGGTCACAGAAAACCACCATGCTAAGGAGGTCACAGGTCGCCCCAAGTCAGACCCTGGGGTGCACAAAGAGGCTAGGCCTCACCTGACCGTCCTGACCACGAAGTACACCAGCACCGCGCCGCTCACCACCATCAACACGGTCAGGGCCCGCTGGGTCATGGGTTTGTCGCCAGGGTTGGGGCTCACGGCCAAGCCGCTACCCACCGAACCTTCCCCGGCCTGGCCTCCGAGCCCGTCCGCCGCAGGCCCCGCCCCGGGGCTGCTGCCATTGCCGCCCCCCGAGCCTCGCGGCTCGGTGGTGGCTTCAGCCTGAGCACGGCCCGGGGCAGGAGCCGCGGTGGGGCCTGGAGACAGGGGCGGCAGGGTCCGAGGAGCAGGGTCCGGGGGCCTGGGGCCCGGCGCGGCTTCGGCCGCCGGCCACAGCACCGCCCAGGGCCCGCTCAGCGCCGGCAGCAGGAGCAGGAGGACCGAGGCCCCGACACAGCCGAGACCGCGGCCACCGAGCGGGGCCCTCATCGTCCGCGGACTGCCCTCTCAGTACGCCGGAGCCTCCGGGCCGCACGCCCTGGCTCCCAGAGGTGGCATGGGTGCGCCCGGGAGAGAAGAGCAGGCGGCGGCGGGTGCCGGGCCCTACGCGGCAGGCGGCAGTGACTGCAGCTGCCACAGGGATGGCAGCGGCTGGGGGAACCGGAAGTTCGTACATCTCAGCAGCCACTGCTGCTACGGACGCCTTCGGTTGCTAATATGTGGAGGTGGGGCGCACGCGGTGACGTCAGACCCCCGAGACGTCAGACGTCAGCCAGCCGACTGCACATGCGTTCTGATGGAAGACTGGACGGGCTTTTCTGTATATGGTTGTACCTAGTAGTTATATACACATATATATCTGATGTATTTATGTGTGTATAACCACTTATATGAGATATATAAGATTTGTTTAAAAAGATATATGAGATATATAAGAGCTATTAAAAAGATAAGATTTATATAATATGTATATGTGTGTGCTATAGATAAAATATAATTTTCTAATGCATGACATGAAAATGCATTCACATACATCAAAAATTAGAGAAAATAGTGTATTTGGCTTCTGCAATGTAGAAATGTCAATTTTGAGCACATATATCTATTTCAAATACAGGCTGGGAAAAAAGGCACATACATCTTCAAGCACTGCAATTGGTTATTTCTGAATTTTTCTATTATTGTTAACATATTGCTTATTTTGTGCTGACTGACTTATGAACAAGTTATAAGTATTAATGCTTGAAACACATTTGGGGGAGGAAAAAGTTTAGATCAAGAAATGCATATCAAATTTCTTATATTCATCTGTATAATGGGAATAGGCAAACATGGTTCAACTAAATAATGGCATACAATATCTCATGTGCAAAAATGTCTTTTAATTAAACACTGAGCTGCTATCAAACAAAACTTAAAGCTGTCAACCTGAATTGAATAATAATGGTGAACACAAACTCTGTACCAAGTATGTACCAGATATCATGCTAACATGAAATTAGATTATTTTATCATAAAAAACATAATTTTCCCTGTTTTGCAACTGAGAAAATCAAGATACAAGATGATTCACTAGTCTAAAATCCATGTGATTAAACACAATTAAACACAATGGTACTGCATTCTGGGCCTCTACCAGCAGAAATAGATTATTAATTGCTCTTATAGCATTCTCCTAATTAAATGTTCCATTGATCTTATTGTTTTGCTAGAATAATACTGGATGACCAATAACTAGAAAAATAAAAATAGAACCTGATGAGGCATAGTAAACATTGTTTTCCTTACATATGTCTTACCAAACTATTATTGATCAGATCAAACCTTAACTTGTCTGTGCTTGATTGCAGGCCACAGGTTTAGATCACAGTCTGTCCTACATGGTGGGATATAGTGCTCATGTTATTCTTTCTCCAGGCTAAGGTTAAATCTTACTGATTAGGGAAAGTAAGTAAAAAATGATGAGGAATACACATAAAGAGAAGGCATTTGTAGGCTTTTGGGTGTAGGGATGATGCTCATTTTTTTCAATCAGTGATACAATGATTTATCCAAAAGCTCTAGTCAATGACATTGACATAGACCTGCTTGTTAAGGTCTATATATTTATGTGTATATAACCACTTATATGCGATACATAAGATTTGTTTAAGATATATATGAGATATATAAAATGTATATTAAAAAGATATAAGATTTATATAATATGTATATGTGTTTGCTCTTTATAAAATATAATTTTCTAATGCATGACATGAAAATGCATTCAAATACAAATGTCAATTTTGAGCACATGTATCTATTTCAAATACAGGTTGGGAAAAAGGGCACATATTTAGATATCTGGGATTTTATTATTTAAATTGAGTTGCCAACAAAATTACATTTATATTAGTATGGAAAGAAAGCAAACTCACGATTGATAGAACTTTTTAAATGCCATGTATTTTAGGACAAAGCTTAGTAAGTATTCTCTGAGGCCAAGATCTTTCTTTCCCATTAATGACAAAGCCCAAGTAATGATTATTTACTAATACACATCGTGGAACAAAATCTCATGGAAGAAAACTTGCACAGTAGATGACCGAAATTCAATAGGAAACAGCGCAACAGTCCAGAAAAGAGATTATGAAATGATCACAAATTCAAGAAGTTGAAAAAGCATATCAAAAACATGTTGCAGATGATTGGAATATAGGAGAGAGAACTAAAGGACAAGAGGAAAAGAATGATGTTGAAGTATGCGTAGCATAAACAAGTGAAATCAGGATAAAAATATCTATAAAAGAAAATCACCCTTGTATATCACTTTTATAATAACAATAAAATGCATATAAAAGGAAATGACCACTAATAATGTCTATGGTTATTAAGATGAATGTATGAGGGAACCCCATACTTATCCTGGATCCCTGCAGACCAACTTGCCAGATATTGACAGGGATCTGATGTTCAATCAGAATATCTCATTCTTTCAGCAAAAGATCAGTGTTATGAATTTGAATAGGAAGAATCTGTGGATCAGTGTATTCAGAGAAGAAATATGTGGCCAGGCATGATTGCCTATAATCCTAGTTCCCAGGACACATAGGCAGGAGAACCAGGAGTCTGAGGCAGAGTACTGGGAAATATAATCATGGGTCCTTTCTATACTGATTTTACCAGTTCAAAATAAAACCCTAGAAAGCTTCTTAGAAGAAACAGAACTTACAGATTGCCTTTATCAATTTAGTGGAAGTGTGGACATTCGCAAAACAGATTCACAGGAATTAAAGAACAGAGAAATATAAAGATTCAAGTACTTAAAGAAATAATTGTACCTAGTTAAGTGTATGTTTAATTATGTATCAAATTCATTAGAGTATGATCAGATAACAGAATATTTCTGAAGACTGTTAGAAGATAAATTTTTAGTTCAAATTTTAAGGCCAGAGAACAAAATGTAATATAAATAAAAGAGAAAACACATTTTGGCCTAACAGAGTCATTTGCAGAGTTGTATATTATCTGATTCCAAATCAGAAATTTCTTCAAAGCACCCAGTGAAAAGAGATATATTATATAGGAGAGCTATAACACAAATGAAGGAATGTTCCCCGCCCCCCCATCGGAAACAATGGGCAACAGAAGACAATGCAGCAACATTTTTAAGGTGTTAAAAAAGAAAGAAAGAAAAACACATCTGTTTCTAACTACACCCAGTACACTGTTCTGAAGGTCTATAAATCTCCTTCAATGAAATGCATGTTGAATGTTTATGAGATTAAGTTCAGATTGAATTTAATCTACAAAATCAAAATACACGTATCTGAGAAGACTACTAATTTTATTTTGTAAAACAGAAGAGGTGAAAAATCCTCTTACAAATTACAGATGAAGCATCATTTCCAGGAACACTGTATCACTGAAGAGTAGTTGTGAGAGAAGAAATGCTTCTGTCTTTACAGAAATGTACAGAATTTCTGCTTCATAGTGACATATCTGAATGGCTGCAGTTTGCAGACACTTGTAAATCTGCTTGACATATGCAAATCACTTAAAAGAAAAATGAGTGAACTCAAGGTACTTGTTTGCTGTATAACCATTGCTGGGCCTCAGCATTGAAAAGAAACTTATAGTAAGTTTTTCATATTTATTACCAGGCACCCGTGGCTCTTGCCTGAAATCTGAAGACCACGATTTGAAGCTAACCTAGACAGGAAAGTCTGTGAGACTCTTATCTCCAATTAACCACCAGAAAACAGGAAGTGCAGCTGTGGTTCAAAGTGCTAGAGTGTCAGCTTTGAGCAAAAAAGCTCAGGGACAGAACTCAGGCCCTGTGTTCAAGCCCCAGGACCACAAAGAAAGGATGAAAAGAAGGGAGGGAGGGAGTGAAGGAGAAGGGGAAGGAAGGAAATGAGAGATTGAGAAGGGAGGGGGGAAGCTGAGGGAGGGAGAAAAGAGAGAGAAAGAAAGAAAACCAATACCGCCAGAACTGAACTGAACGTTTCTTGCAGGTCACTAGGACAATCAGGTACATTTACTGAAGGCAAAATATATGTCTTGCTGGGCTCTGGTGGCTCATGCCTATATCCTAGCTACTCAGAGACTGAGATCTGAGGATCGTGGTTCAAAGCCAACCCAGGCAGGAAAGTCCATGTCACTCTTATCTCCAATTAACCACCAGAAAACCAGAAGTGGTGCTGTGGCTCAAGTGGTAGAGTGCTCACCTTGAGCTGAAGAGCTCAGGCACAGTGTCCAAGCCCAGAGTTCAAGCTCCACGACCGGAAAAAAAAAAAAAAAGTATATGTCTAGTGGGCATCTTAGTGAGATTTTAGAATCAGACTTTATATCTTTATATCATTCAATTGCCTATTGAGAATATTTCTTATCACCTGAAATGTACAAGAATGGTAAAAAAAAATGAACTTTAATTCACTGGTTTAATGTTTAAAACTAGTTACAAACGAAAAATCAAACATACTAGTCTACATAATAATCAGTACACATTAAAAATCATTCATAAGATTTTCAGGAGATACAAATCTAGAGCAGATTTGATACAATAAACTTTTTGAGGGATTAAAGGCTGAGGAATTACTATTGAGCCCCAGGTGCTCCTCTTTGCCTTCAAATGGTTTTTCTATCACAATCTAACAACTTCCATTCTCCATGCCCTGCCTTGTCCAGGAACAAAGAAAATTGCATTTTAGAATGAACTTTATTGAAAACTGGAGGTAAAGAGTAAGAAGTTGATTAGTTCATAGTCAGTTTACAGGAATTAGAGGATTAATTTTTAGACTCCATATCAATGTATACATTCTCATGGAATTGTTTCTTAGTCTACTGTCCAAAGCGAACTCAACTATTTCAGTATTTTCTCATAGAGTGTAACTTACCTTTTTTTTCCTCTTTCAGTAAAATCTTTCCATTGAAGAAACATTTAGTTTTAAAGAGCAACAATATCAAAAGAAATAAATGAGTATCCACAGAATGTCTTGTGAAAATTGTAATATCTGCAGAAATGGAAATGAGGTAAAAGTATGAATGTAAAAAGAAGTTTTTCTTTCTACATTAGTTTTTCAGGACCTTCTATTATCCAGGGCAAAAGTACAAGAAACACCAGATTCAGGGAAATGGAGAGGCCATATTTAGGAGATAAAATATTGG